GTGTGTAAGCCTTTGGAAAGCATCTGAAAGCATCTCTGGCTTTATATCGTGCTTCAGCAGCTACCCTCGGTCAGCTAGAATTATACAGAGGAGGGCCTTAGTGTATGTCTGAAATGCCAGGCTTTTATCAGATTTACGCACTGCTGCTGATGAATTTCATATGCTAGGTTTGAGGCAATGCATCTCTCCCAGTACAGACACCATTACAAGCCCAGCCAGCCATTCAGATGAGGTTAGATGAGACTGTGAAAAGAGCAGGACAAGTTCACCATCAGGAACTGGAAAACACTCGATTCAGTCCTGCTAGGATGAGAAATGAGAAATGTCAATACCTCCGTAATTTACTAAATATAACAATTGGACTACACGTTTTATAGAACCACAGAAAAGTTTTCTATAAAACAAGCCAGTCAAATATTAAGGAAAAAGATACCAGACAAAATTTTTTGGTAAAAATCACTGTCAGACAAATTCAGAAAATAATGGGATGATCCTAGTATCCATTGTGAGCTTGGGCTCTTTTCCTTAACTTATTGTGTTAGTAAAGGAAATAACACTTTTGGATTCTCTAAATTTAATTAATTCCTAGCAAATACACTGCTCTTTTTTTGTCAGAAACATTATTTTATAGGCATGCTTTTGAATTCATTTGGAGGATCAAGTTTCAGTTGTCTCACTTTCTTGCTGTTCAGCATATGAATCATTAACATGACTTTAATCTTGCCTTTTTCCTGCCATGTGATATGGCAAAGTGCTATGTGTTTAGAAAGTGAATTACAAGTGCCTAAATGCTTGTATAACTAAGAAGCTTAAGTAGGCTAATGAATATCTATGTCACTATTTTGTATAACTAAAGAACATTTACTTGAAAATGTTAAAACATTTTTAAAGGAAAAAAAGAAAATGCACACTGCAAGCTTCAATAGCACCTTGTAGCATAAAATGGCTACCTCGTTGTACAATTTTAGAAATACTTTCAAGATGTAGAAACACTTGGATGTACAGGCTATGAAAACACTAAGGGCAATTGCAATCGCATTTCCTTTTCGCTCCAAACAATTTTAAAACTTTCACTTGGCTTTGTTATAGGCTATACTACTCATGTTAACACCAAGTATGATACTGGTTTGTACAGAACTGTTAGATTTTTTTTGTTTTGTTTTTAAGATTTACAGAAAGGAGACACATAGAGAAGATCATCCATTCACTGGTTCACTCTTTAAGTGAGCTGAGCTGATCCAAAGCCAGGAGCTTCTTCCGGGTCTCCCACGTGGATGCAGGGTACCAAGGCTTTGGGCTGTCCTCTGCTGCTTTCCAAGGCCACAAGCACAGCTGGATGGGACATGGAGCAGCTGGGAGACACACTGGTGTCCGGATGGGAAGTAGAGAAGCTCTCTATAGTCACAAAGTCAAAATGAGGCATAAAGTGACATTTGAAGACTTGAAGAAAAATGGAGCATTCCTGCTGTGTATGCTCCTTTCTTTCCATTTTGAGAGAGCCAGCATACATAAGAACAAATATACCAACTAAGGTTGTAGGACATCTGTAATCTACACCCACATTCATCATTGACATGGCTGCAACAAATCAGCAAAACTTTAAGCAAAATAACATCTTGCATGTATAAGCACTGCATGCACAATCCTCTTCAGAAAGGCAGAAACACACACACACACACACACACACACACACACACACACTTTGGAAGAACTGTTGCTTGAAAGTTGCATTTTAATTATGTGATCCCAAGAATGACTCACCAATGAATACTTTCATGCTGTGATAGCTTATTATTGTCAATCAATAAAAGCTTCCACTTGCACATAACCAAGAGGCAATAACCAAAGCAAAAACCAAAAGAAAAATAAATATCTAGCTGTCTAGCTATTCATCCATTCATCCATTCACAAAGCTATCCATCATGGCTTATAAAACAAGAAATAAAAATCACGCAAATGTCTAAATGTTAACACACAGAAGACAAAGATTACAAAGAAATATCTGAATCTAATTTCATTCCTGAACACTTCTTAAAAGTTACGTAGCCAGGACTTCAGATAACTGAGAATTTGAGACCAAAAACTGTGCACAAGTCAAATCTGCTGTAAGAAAGAAGAAAAAAAACACATTTTTATAAGAAGAAACTGTCATTTATTTTATGCATTAGAAAGGCAGGATGATGGAGTGAAAGGAGACAGACAGTGGTGCCTTCCATTCCATCTCAGTCCCCAGATGCTGTCAACAACAGGCTCTGGTCCATAGTTAAGCCAAGAATCAACATACAGGTCCCCAAATATTTGAGTCCAAGTACTTGGGTCATCATCTGCTACCTTCCCACATGTGTTAGTTGGATTGGAAGTCCAGATTTTAGTGTGGTAAAACTTCTAGATTCCCTAGGCCCATGAACTAGCACTTTGAAATGACATATGGTTGCCCCAAAATGGCAGCTTAGCTCACTGCACAACGCTTGCCCTGCAGAGATATTTTAAAGTTCTAACTTGTGCCCCAGCTTGCCTGTAAACCTTTTCTTCTATCATTACATATTCACGCTTTTATTTTCTCATGCATGCATGTCTAAAAAGGTCCTTTGAGGTTCATCTTATAGCATAACACGTTAGGAAGCCACCTGTAATACTGGTACCAGATGGTTCAAGTCTTAGCTGCTCCATTTCCTGTCCAACTTTAATTTCCCTACGGAAGCAGCAGAAAAATGCCCAAGGGTTTGGACCACTACACCCTAGTAGGAGACCCAATGTAGCTTGTGGCTTTGATTTGCCTAGCTCCAGGCCCAGCCATTCCAACCCTTTAGGGAGTAAACCAGCAGATGAGAGATCTCTCTGTCTCTACCTCACTCTATGTAACTCGCCTTCAAATAAATAATCTTTTTAAAAAGCTTATTTTGCTACTGATAAGCATCTGAAAAGGTAAATTGCCTTACTGTGTGCAAACAGTCACTAACAAATTGTTCTGGTTTCAGTGCTTGGAGAAGAAAGAGTGGGTGCTGCTAGGTCCTTCTACATCAATTTTGTCTGGAGCCAGGAAAGTTTTCCTTAACAGGTTGTTACACAGCATTGTCACATCACAATTGCCAGGGCACTATCCCTGCTATTCCAGTGAACTGTACCTACTGGCAAAAGTTGGTGATGGGAAGGGAGGGGGCAGGTGTTGGATTTCCATTGCAGCAGACACAGCTTGGGATGTATGGGCTGAGAAGTGCCAGTCGCACATCTGGTTCCAGCTTTCTGCTAAAGTACATCCGAAGAAGCAGTGGGTAAAGGCTTAAGAATTTGAATCCAGGCCACCGATATGGAACCTGATTGAGTTTCTGGCCTCCGTGGCATTGTTCCAGACACTGGGAAATGAACTAGTGGATGCAAGAATTCTCTCTGTCCCCGAGTCTATCTGTATTTCATGTAAATGAAAGTAAATTCAATAATCAAAAATACTTTGCCTGTGAGACCCTTTCAAGTTCACATGGTTGTTTATGTGGCGTCTCCTTGAGAAGGTGGCATCTTGAGGAATAGGCAGGGTATGTTTAAATGATACACATTATACATTTTCAGCTAGTTTTTTTAATATATTCAAATGTGATTAAGCACATGATTATGTTAAACTGAAAATTTTTTCAATCTAAAAATAAATTGTTGAAGCAAATGACATAGTAAGAAACAAGATCAAGATTTATTTTCATAAAATACAGTAATTCCAAATACAAAATGCTACAAATACATAACTACACTTAGCTTTTCCTAAATTATTATTCTAGAATTTATACTTTTGACAATTATATCTGATGAGATTGCAACTTAGCATTCTTAGAGTTTAAATGCCAATACTGATTCCTTTATGTCTCTTTTTATAACTGGAAATGGGCATGGATATAATTCTATATGGAGTCTTGACATAAAAATAAAAGCTGTCTTCAGAGAGTATTTCTTCTTGACTCATTAGAACTAAATAACCTCTTACATTATATTATCCCTCTATGGTGTGGGTTCCAATCAGAGAGACTAGTAGTTTGGGCTTCATTTTAATTTTTTTTTATTTGCTGGCTTTTGGATTCCTCTCGGTTATTCTGACATAACTATTATACTGTATCATATTGTCTCTTCCAACAAACCGTTCATTGTGTGTTGCTGTCAACTGTCTTACTGAAATAAAACCTAAAGGAAGAAATTACGCTTCTTGCTTCAATTTCCCTTAAGCATCAGTGACAATTTAAATCATAACAATAGCCAAGTTTGCATTTTTATTCTGGATTCCTAATTATATGGGATGATTGAGGGCAATTCAAAAGTGTTTCAGAATCACCTACTGCCAAGATTCTGGAAAACGTCTTTTGCAAAAGAGAATGTTAATGCTCTGAGGACCCCAAAACATGTGCACTAAACACGGTGTGTGAATTTTTATGGAATGAGAGGGTAAAGGGCCATGCTAATCATCACCAATGTGCAAATGTCAGGCCATCATTGTTCCTTCACTCTGTTATTCATCAAATATAGGGGATCCATTATGTTTCTGTTAGCATATGTGTATGCATATGTATAATTTCTAAAGGTAACTAGCACAAACTCAGGAGGGAGGGCCAGCCTGATGAAGAGTTAAATGTTTTTTTTTTGTACAGCTTATACAAATATTCCAGACCATGTACGTCTGCAATTGAAGAGGATAGGATGTAATGTTTCATGAGAATTCACTAAAATGAGCCATTTTTAAATAGATGTTTCAGTTCTGAAACATTTCATTTCAAATTTATTTGTCATATGAAGCTATTAAGTAAAGCCCCACTCCACTTCATAAAATAGCGAGTATTTGTTTTGTTAACAGGTTTGAGATTTTGAAAACTATTGCTTTTTGTTTGTTTGTTTAAAGAAATATTTGGAGATTTGGTTTCTTTCTGTCTGAATTAAGAACCAGCTGTACTTGCCAGTATTCACAAGTCCACGGTCACACACAAAACACACAGACACACACTCACACTGAAAGGATGAGAACAAAATAAAAAGGCTTGGTGAGGAAGCATGTTAATAACCTTCGATACCGGCAGATGTTCAAGACAGAAAGCTACAACTCCCTTTCTCCACTTTTAAAAGACAAGTAGCACTTTGTAATTTATAGAGGGTTATTCCCTGCTTATTGGTACCATTTCATAACAAAAGTAAGATTTTTATTTTGTTTTGTTTTTAATTATGCCTCTACAAATCTAAAAGTAAGCGAATAGAACTGAGAGAGTGGTAAGTTACTCTTGGTTATTTCTGCTATGCTGTTCAGGTGAGAAAACCTGGGATTCTTATTAAGAGCCCTTCTGAATGGTTTAATTCCTTTACAGCTACCATTAGCTGTCAGCTACACCATGGATATTGTCCATGTGCACTTTGAGGTAGTCATTCCTTGTAAACTTCTTATGGCAAAACTGGCATTCTGCCAGTGGGCGATTGGGATTATGAGTCATCTTGTGTCGGATCAGCATTTTCTTCAGGCTGAAGGCCAAGTCACAGACCTAGAAAAGATCCAAAGACACCAAACAGATTATACTGAAAGAGTGAAGGCATACTAACATATCACACATACAATACAGATCGTGCAAACTTACTATCAAGTAAAACTCTAACGGCTCTAAGACGATCCTGGAATAAATGAAATCTAATAACCAAGCTAAAAGACAACAAAATTATAGTTCTCAAGAATCATTTGCACTGAGTCTGTGTTTTCTGCGCCTCAATCATCCTTTTCTCCCCCCCAGCTGAAGGATTTAAGTATCTCTTCAGAAATAGCACCTGGAGAACAAAACCCTTACCAGAAGGAAGTAAATTAACAATTTCTTATTGCACATTCTAAAAAAAGACATTTTATAGTTTAGATGAACTCTAATTTCTTTGCAAGGCATAAATGGCACAGAACATTGTTTCAATTTAGTGCCATTTGTAAAGCAAAAGGTTAGCTTTATTGTAAGCATCATGTGGAAATTCATCTCACTATCGCATTTCTTTACTTCACATATATACGCAGATGCAGAGTTGGGAGGAGAGGAAGGTGACTGGGGTGCAGAGAACACAAAGGCAATGCATGCTGCATGCTTAATGGAGGCACAGAATAACTTGACTTCCTATAATTTCCACACTGCCAGTTGGCTCGACAAATGTTAAACACTATGATAATTTAAAAGATCAAAACCAGAAGATATAAGGCATAATTAGTCCAGTTGTAGAAAGAAAATGTACGCTTTGTGTTAGTCACAAAACTTTCAATAAGATGAAACTCCTCAAAAGCACACCTACTGTAAAACAGGCATATCAAATTATGCAAAATACCATGAAAAACATAGTGAAAACAATGATAGAAGAAACAGCTTATAAAAATACTTGACAGTAGGCTGGGGTACTGAATAAGGGAAGGCACGGGAAAAGTCCTCAGGCAGACAAAAGTTTGTGCTCTCTGTTACGTGGGAAAGACAATGGACATCCACAGCAACAAGAAACTCAGAAAGTCACAGGCAACGAGGGAGAAGAGTCTAGAACTCATGCATTCGGATTTGCAAATAAGTAGCAGTAATACGAGACAAAAAGAAAGTAAGCTTTGGAAGCAGATCTCTCTCTCTCCAAGTAAAAGTCCCTGACCTCACTCTTTAAACCTGAAACCTGTCACCCTCTTGGATCCCCTTTCTCTCCACTGAGATTTACGGATCCGACAGCATTTGTCACCTTGTGGTCCATGGAAGATAATCTTCCTAATTTAGCATTTATTGTCTGTCTCCATTCACCAGAGTCTCAGCTCTTTGAGACAAACACCCATTTAAGTTCCATTCACTCTGTACTCTGTATCTTAACGGAAAAGACAGTATCTACAGAGCATGTTTCAACAGATATTTGCCAAAACGCTAGCCTGGATTGGAATTTGACTGTATCAGTTACAAAAAGATTACATTTCCCTTAACTTTAGACTTGCTTCACAGAATTATTAACATACTTTGTGCACATGGGTGTTATACTGAATACACTTTTTTAGGAAGACATATCAGTAGATTGGAAAGATAGCTCTAATATGACCAGGAGTTCTCAGTGATGGGATCAGAAACAGGTTTAATTATCTGGCCCATTACAAGCCCAACATTGAGATCAATAACTGATACCATGGTGTGGGCATAAAGATGCCACTTGAGATATCTGTACACCAAATTAGAGTGCCTGTGCTCAAGTTCTGGCTCAGCTTCTAATCCAGCTTCCTTCCAGTTCACACCCCGGAGGCAGCACATGATGGCACCTGCATTTGGATTCCTGACATCCTTGTGGAAGACGCAGAATGAATCCTAGGAGTGAGGAATCTTTTTTATTCTGTCAAGGGCCATTTGAGTATTTAAAAAAAATCATCTGTGGGTCTTACAAAATTATCAATGTAAAAAGTTAGCCTGTTACAGAGTTACTGTATAATCTCGGTTGCATTGACAGAGCCAGAACAAATGATTTTGAGGGTCTCATAAGACCAGTGATCTTGGAATTCCCTATTCCAGTATTAGTGAAACGCAATCACAGAAAGGTCAGATGTTGTATGATTCCCTCACATGAAATGCCTGGGATGGGTTAATCTACAGTAGTGAAAATAGACTGGTGGCTTCCTGGGTCCGTGGGATTGGAAAGTAACTGTTTATCGGGTAGGTTGGTTCATTCCGGGACGATAACATGTCAAAATTTAGAAAGAAGTGCTAGTTAGGCAACACTTCAAAGTTATTACTTTTATTTAAGTAATTTTCACCTCAATTTAATAAGCCAAACAAACCACTTTGGTGTAGCCATAAGGTGGAAAATACATACATGGGAGCTTGGATGTAAGATATGGTGCTGAGCCAAAATTCTGGTATGAGGATGGAGACAGAGGATGTAATGAGTCTGGGGAGGGGCTCTTCATGAGGGGAGAGTTTAGATGTGAGGTAAGAAAGGATAGCTTGTATCTAGCTAGAATGAGTAGATTAATAAAGTAATTTTGCAGCAAATACAGCCAGTTCTATATTTAGCAGGTTATCTTTCAGAATCTGGAAAGATGAATTTACCCAGTAGAGCCAACTGGGTTACAACTAAAAACTGGCAAATTTTGAACACACAGAAGTAAAGAATACAGTTGGAGACAAAACATATGCTTTTAATATTATATTAAACAAAAGTATTCAACACAGGGTAAAGGCATGAGACCCAGTGGCGAGGTTTCCACTTAAACGCCACGTGCATACTATATGGGTTGACTCCTACTTTGCTACTCTGCTTCTGCTTGCTGCTGATGTGTGCTCTGAGAGTCAGCCACATTCGTATCTTCATTTCTGTATCAGAAATATGCATCCCAGAACTTTTCCTAACACCTGTGTCAAATCTCTGTCAATTATCAACCTCATACACTACTGGCGGATAGGACATTTCAATTCCTAAACTAATATTCCCAAACAATACATTTTATCGACAACAGTGTTTTTCTTTTATTAAGCAATCTGAACAGATACTTGTAATAATACCATTTAAATTAAAATAAGAAGCAGAAATTATGAATTTAGAAATTCTAAATAATTTACTATTGTTAAACCCAAAATAGCTTATTTTAGCAATTCTTTGGATTTAGCAGTTAGTACAACTAATGGAATGTCAATTGTACCATTTCATGTATCATTATCCCAACGTGCCAAATATTTAGGCAGATACATGAAAAATTCCTCATACCAATCAATTATATATTACACATTGGAAGAACAACTTCAATCTGATGCCGTTAGAATGGCACAGAAATTTTTAAAAGGAAATCAGTGTGTATTTGCTTTCTGTAAATCATATTTAATGAAAAGTCGATATACACACACAGATCTATACATGCATACAGGTACGCACATATTTACACACGATATTGGAAAACGCTGGAGAAAGAAAAGAAAATGCCAACTCACATCACACTGGAAAGGCTTTTCTCCAGTGTGGGTCCTCTTGTGCTCATCGAGGCCTCGCTTCTGGCTGAAGGCTTTGCTGCAGTCTGAGCACTTGTACGGCTTCTCCTGTAGTCAGTGAAAGAGACCACAATAAAGAGTGAAGGCAGAGCCCTACTTGTCACGTGTTCATTGGGACAGCGGTGCAGGGGTTGACTTAAGTGTGCAGGGTGTTGTCGCCAATGCACAGGGCTGTGAGCTACATTCTCAGAAGATGCAGCAATAGTCACTGTTATGAGACACCATGCAAACACTTACTCCAGGCAGTTCAGGTTAAGTGTTTTTGTCACTACATTCTTTTTGATGATGCCTTACCTCAGCAGAGCTAGGCACTGGTAGTTGCTGTGATCTAACAACTTAAACTGAACCTTCAGGTTGCGTCTTCTGGCCTACGTGTCATAAAAATGCACTAAGATATCAAGCATATCATGAACCAAGAATGTGTGGGAATCCTTGAACAGTATGGTACAAATGACTGTTTCATAGCGTTTCCTGGGAATAAAAAAACCCTTTAAACCAAATTTATCAGATATTGTAGTAACATGAGAGGTATAACATTGCCTAGTAGTGTGCAAAGGAAATCCAAAGCAAACAATAATAATATATGAAAAAATGCTGAGACCAAGTTGTTATTTTTCAATAATAACCTTAAATGCAAATGGCTTAAATTCTCCAGGCAAAATATACAAAAAAAAAAAATGACCCAGCTACTTGCTATCTATAAGAAACACACTTCAACAACAAAGATGCAGAAAGAGTTTAACGAAAGAATAGAAGAGAAAGGAAAATGGAGCAAGAGTTCTAATATCAGAGAAAATACATTTAATGCAAAAATTATTAAAAGTGATGAATAAAGACATTACGTAATGCCTAAAGCATCATTTCAACATGAAAAAGTAACAATAATAAATGCATATGGAGCCAAGCCACCAAGTTATTTATAAAGAAAATGTATTTGTAATAGACCTGAAGGGAGACATAGACTACCAAAAAATATTAGTTGTGGATTCAACACCTCGTTTTTATCAATGACTAGACAAAAAATATAACAAAGAAACAAATAGAAAAAACTGATATCTACAGCCCATTTCCCAGCACAATGGACAGACCATATGTTAGGCCATAAAGGAAGCTTTAACAAATTAATCAAAGCACCTGAAATCATACCATGTATCTTTTCTGATCACAATGGAATGAAGCTGGAAATTGACAACTTAGGAAACACACGGAGACAAATTATTGGGCTATTTATTCAATGAACAGTAGACCACAGACAAAATCCATAAGGGAAATCCAAAAATTCCTAGATATAAATGAAGATAGTCACATAATGCATCAAAATTTATGAACCACAGACAAGGCACTGTTAAATGGGAGTTTTTAAAAACATATAGTTCCTATAACAAGAAATTGAAAATTGATGAAATAAATAATTTACTAGGATAAATCAAACAGCAAATTAGCAGAAGAAAATAATCAAAGCTAGAGAAAAAATAAACAAAATTAACCAAGAAAATGTTACAAAAGATCAGTGAGATAAGCTAATTCAAGAGCTGCCTTTTTTTTTTTTTTTGAAAAAAAGAATTCGCTGCTGAATTCTACCAAACTCTTCAAAAAGCTCTAATTCCCACTGCTCTCAACTATTCAAAACCATTGCAAGGGAATAAATCTTCCCAAACTCTTTCTGTGAAGCCCAAATCACCTTAATCCTCAAACAAACAAACAAAAATTGTATGACAAAGAAAGAAAACTGTAAACTAATATCTTGTATAAATACAGATGAAAAATAAAACAAGCATGCAAACAAATAAAAAAAAGGATAAACAACATATTAGCTAATTTAATACAACACATCAGAAAATTGATTCATTCACCCAGACTAAGTAGGATTAATCACTGATATGCAGATGGTTCAACATATATAAATCAATAAATATGATATATCACATACACAAACTAAAACATAAAACTCATATAATTATATTGAAGGACTTAGATAAAACATTGGATAAAATGCAACATTCTTTTAGGATAAAAATATCAAGCAATCTGGGTATAGAAAGAACATCCCTCAACACAATCAGTGCAATACATAAAAACCAACAGCCAGCATCATACTGACTGCGGGGAAAGCCTGAAGCAAGGCCTACTAAGATCTGGAACAATAATGCCCACTATCAGCACTGCTCTTCATCATAGTCCTCAAGTTTTATCCAGAGCTATTAGGCAAGACAAAGAAATGAAAGGGGGTAGGTCAAGTTATCACTGTTTGCAGATGACATGATTCTACTTATGCAGGAATCAAAGGATCCTATTGAGAACCCATAAGAGATTTCAGTAAGGTCTCAGAATATAAAATCCACATGCAAAACTCAATTGTCTTTTTTTCCAGAAACAATTCTATGACTGAGAAGGAAGCTGTCAAATCAGTTCCATTCACAACAACTGCAAAAAACTATACACAGCTTGGAATAAATATAGCTAAGTATGTGAGAGACTTCTATAATGAAAATCACAAAATTTGAAAAAGAGAAGATACTAAAAACAATGCAAATAATCTTCCATATTTGTGAATTGGTTGAACTAAAAATCAATAAAATGCTCATATTATTGAAATCAATTTATAGTTTCAATGTTATCTCAATCAAAATACCCTCAGTATACTCAGATAAAGAAAATATGTTGCTAAAAATTCAAATGGAAACACAATAGACCTGAATAGCTAAAGAAATACATATATGTATATACACATATATATTATACATACATATGCAATACATACAATATATGCAATACATATATATGTACAATACATACAATATGTACACAATATCTACTCTCTCTCTCTAGTATTGCAGTCCTCACAATACTAGATTTCAAAACCTCCTCCAGGGAAGCTATAATCAAAACATATTGGTACTTGTACAAAAACTAGAGATACAGATTAATGGAACAGGATAGAAATCCCAGAAATGAATTCAAGTATCTATAATCCCACAAATTTTTGACAAGAGAAATGAACTCAAAATGCCATCCACAGCTTCTAACAAATTTGTTGTTTTCGATCAAAGTAAAGTTGAGCACCATTAAGTTGGATGTTATTAAATCAAAACCATCTGTCTCCTGTTACTAGAAATAGGAACTTTCATCATTTTGAAATGACCCTTTTTGCATAAGTATCATTTTTATCTAGGATTAATATGTTTGTAATACAGCTACAAGCATTTTGGGGGGATAGCCACAGATTTGCTTTTAAATATTTTTATATATAATAAACTATTTCTTATAGTTAGCATATAATTAATTACATCTGTATGTGAAAGGAAGGGAGAAACAGCCCCTCAGATACTGTCCATCAACTGGTCGACTCCCCTAATTGCCTAAAACAGCTGGGATTAGACCCAGCTGAAGCTAGGAGCCCTGAACTCGGTTCAGGTCTCCTGTTCTACTTGTAAGTGTGTAGCAATATTTATTATGTATCTTGGTCTTAATCATCTTTCTAGTTTTAATTTCAAGACTTATTTTCTTGTCTGAATGTCAGAGTTACAGAGAGATAGAGACATCTGCTGTTTCAGTCCCCAAACGGCCACAAATGTGTGTTGGGCCAGGCAGAAGGAAGCAGCTGGAGCTGCTTCTGGGTCTGTCATTAGTGACAGGACAATCTCTGCTGCCTTTCCCAAGCTGTTGACAGGGAGCTAGACTGGAAGTACCGCAGCCCAGATTTAAACCAGTGCTTTTTAGGATACTGGTGTCCATGGCGGACTGCGGCTTCACAGGTGGTATCTTTATTTGTTATGACACAATAGTGGTCCCTATTTTACTTTTTTTTTAAGCTTGAGCAACTCTAATAAAATATCATGGACTGGGTGGCTCATCAATGATCCAAACTCAGTGTTTTTCAATGCTGAAGGCCAATGTCCAAAACCAAGGTCCCAGCATGACTGTTATGGTTAGGGCTCTTTTCTGGGCTGCAGACTTTGTGTCTTCAAACAAATGAGAGAAAACAACTCGGGTCTGTTTGGTGCCTCATAAACGCACTAAGCCTATGTATTAGGGTTTCATTCTACTATCACGTTGGAAGTTAGGACCTCAACATGAGAATCTGAGAACACAAACATTCAATTCGTTGTTATGCCTACTATGGAATCATTATTGTTTCATATAGCTCGCATAGCCTAGTTTTACAGATGGAAAACTAATCATTTATTATTTTTTATGCTTTTCCACATATCTGACCTTTCAGGGTCTGTTATAAACTCATTTGGTAGTGGAAACTAATTTTACTTCTCATTTTTTATTGAGTGAAAGCCTCTAATTGCAATTAGATGCATAAAAGATTCTCCAATCTTTATATGTCTTTTAACCTTACTGCCATTTCCATTTTGTGCTGCACTTTATGCAAATTATTAGAACCAATGATCAATTTTTAGTCGTTAGTAGGACCAAGTAAACTTTAAAACACGTCTATGTTTTTGATTTCTGGAAGTTTTATTTACTTCTCTTCCAATTACAATTAATATTTTGATGCAATATGATTTTTTTTACTTATGTTGCTTAGATCTACTTAAAAATACTCTAGGTATTTGCATAATCCTCTTTGTCTGATAAATCATTATCTTCAAAGTTCTTTGAAAGTCTTGTTCTGCTATCTGTGGTTCCTCTTGTCTCCTGCTCTTGGCTCTTGTTTCTGTGTGTATTTCTGGAATTTGAAAGCTTGAGCTCATGTTTGGTGGTCTTTATCTATTCAAATCTTGTGACCCCTACGTTGAGGTTAAGTCCCTCCAGACTGCATTTGCATTTCCTCTTGCCAGGAAACCTCTGGCTTTATCGATCAAAGACTGTTTCACATTTATTTCTTGCCATACGGTTTTCTGGTAGGCCAAGTATTTTAAATCTGAACTCCAAACACACTGAAAAGGAAGGGCTGTGCTTACCAATTCTAAGATCACTTTCCTCAACCTGCAGTGATTCCAAAATAGTTTGCCAAAGGTAGATTCTGTCTAGTCCCCAGTTGCATGTTGAGTACAACTTTGCTAGTGTCCACCATTATGGTTGGACACTCCTTACCC